TCTGCGGTGGCAGAGTGGGCAAGATGCAAGGAAATGTGTAAAAATAGGCTCATGAATCACTGAATTCAGAAGCTCAGTGCAGTCAGATCTCCTAAATCATCATTCACAATGGGGAATACCTTCTTTCAACACAGAGTCTTCATTTTTGTTCCCATGCGTTGAGTGATGTGTTCATAGTCCTGCTTTACCACAGTGCTTTGTAGGCGGCTGTTCTGCGTGCTGTGTGTTCATGCAAACAGTGTTCACAGGAGCCGTCATGACACTGACATCCCATGGAGTAGTTTCCAGCCACTGAGGTCACCCAGAAAACACACACCAACAGCATAGTGCAGCACAGAAACCAGCAGAGCCTTGATTTTAGTGGATCCAAAGCAAGACATGGGGAGATCGCATTCTCCTTGCTTTGAAACACCTTTAAGAGGGGCTTTTCCCCGGTTCTGCGTTTACCCCGGCAGCGTTTGAAGGTTGCTCTCATCCGGCTTTACAGTTCTGTCCTCTGAGTGCTGTGGGGCAAAGGCAGGTGGGACTGCCTGGACACTGGGTGCCTGTGGAGGGCTCAGCGAGTTTGGCCAAGAAAAGGGAAGAGCTGCCTGGAGCACAGAGCTGCTGAAATCATCCTGGTGGGATATGAAATATGGATGGGGCTGTGAACATTGCTGTTAGAGCAGATTTATTCCTGGCACCTTGCAGCGGTGCTGCTGGGGAGGTCATTTGACGAAGACACATTGATCCACCATTAACAGTGGCCATGCAGCGTTGTCCTCCCCCTTGATCAGTCTGTAGGTTTTCACATGGAGCTGCTGGGAGACAAATTTTCTTTCCATGTGTAAAAATGATCTATACCAGGGTTTCTTATTGGCAGGTTCATTCTGCCTCCAAAGGTTTTAATTTTGGTACAGAATACTCCCTGGAAAAGAGGTGATTTTTTAGTCTTCTTTCACATAGTATTAAGTAATTTACAGCCTGTGTGTGTTGTTAGGTTGTCCTAGGCGGTGTTTTGGGAGAGGTGATAGAAGGAGGAGGTTGTTCAGAATGCAGAGCTCACAGGCAGCTAGCTTGGGATCGCCCTAACTACCTGCAAGTGCCGAAGCGCTGCTTGCTGCCCGGGTTTGTGCAGGAGGAGGAGGTGGCAGTGACTCACACTGGCAGCCAGACCTGGCATGACGCAGCTGGAACCGTGGGGTGACCCAGCAAGCCACCAGGTAGGAATGCACACGGACTATGGCCAAGCCAGCTCGGCATCAGCCACCATCTGCTGGAGAGCTGTTTGTGTGTCCGCTTGGCATCAAGCTGGGCACACGGAGAGCTGGGGGCAGTTTGGTGTAACAAAAGACAAGTGTGATATAATGGCTTAAATAAATGTATTCAGGAGGGAGTTTGAAAGGTTGGGAGTCTCTCCGATGAGCTGGAGGGAGGTGGGGAATCCCGCCTAACGCAGCTGGGCCAGGAGGGTCTGTGCCTGCAGGCCTTACCTCCAGGCTCTGTTATTTGTGAATGCACCTTGCACTCAGGTTTCTGTGCTCTCCCAGTCTCCAGGCAATCGTGTCCACCCTTATCCCCTTGGGGCCCACCTGCCACGTTCCTCCAGGCATTTCACCCAGGCCCTGTGCAGAAGATGAAGCTGCCCTGATGCCAGCAGTTCCTAGGTATGTCCAGGGTATACTCGAACACTGCCCCTGTATGATGGATGCTCTGTGATATGCATTAGCTGCCCGTGATTTCCAGGCATAAATAAAACAACCTGTGAAATTCTCTTTCTCGCGGCTGTGCTTATTCATTAGCAGGAGCTCGTGAACTGCTTCTGCTCTATCAATGAGCAGCTCCTGCACTCAGTAGGATCAGGGGGCTGTAGAGGATGCTTGGAGGAAGCCAGCATGTCACCCCTTTCCCAGCCCAGGTGTGCTGGGCCAAGTGCTGGCCCCTCTAAGGCACTGGGGTGCTTCAAAGTGACAGACTTTGAGGGGAACAGGCCATGAGGACAGAATGTACCAGCACAGAGGGGAATCGAAGGGCATGGGAGTAATAAACTACTGCTTCTGAAATTCCGCAATTCAGCCATTTCTGCCCATCCCTTCACAAAAGAGCTCTTTGGCTGTGAAGTCTCTCTCCGTGTAACACAGCATGCAGCTCCCAGCTGGGGAGGAGAAGACATCAGCCACAGAGGGACAAATGACACTGATGCCTTTCTATTCCTACCAGCTTATTCGCCAGCCACACACAAACATAAAAACACCAACCAAACTGACTGGATTTTCTACTTTTTTTTTTTTTTTTAATTGGCATTAAAAGGATTGCACCTTCTGATACAGGTCATCTCTGACACCTTTATAAATAACTTATAATCCATCTACATCATTTACAACTGTACAGAGTAAGCTCTGGACACTGCAGACCTCGCTCCAACCCAGTGCACGTCTCTTGGCTTTGTAAGCATTCGCCTTGCGTGCCAGGGTACCTGAACCCCGCAGTGAAGCCCCAAGGAGGCAGAGGTGTGAAGAGCCTCTGGTCACCCCTTAAACCCTGTGGCACCCTATGCAGCAGCTCACAGAGGAAAACAGCTGGTGCACGCAGGCATTTCCCAACTTGTTTCTGAGCCTCCTGTCTAACTGCAGCTTCTTTCAGGGCCAAAATGTTTGCTGCCTAAGTCCAACATTGTTGGGAATCAACAATTTTTGACTCGTGCAGTGAAAAACAGTACCGATGAACCGAAAGCTGCTCTTGCAGCTGTGTGACTCTTGTGGGGAGATGTTAAGGCTTGGGAACTGTGCTTGGCCCGGCTGGCAGTGAGGGGATACATCTGCCAGCGTTCCAAGGTAGCTTCCTTAGGAAATGGTATTGTTGCTGTTGCCCAACCTGATCTTTCAACTGTTGGTGCTGGTTTGGGATTAAATATTTCTTGGGACGTGGAGGCTTTTTACACTGCTAAATAACCCATCACCTGCCGACAGCTCCAGAGCTGCTGTGGCCCCAGTAGTGTATTTCAGCAGTTGTTTTGGACTGCGTGGTGTGTTCAAAGTGAGAGTGGATAAACCTTTGTCTTGGGAAAAGGAAGCGACACTGCCTGCTGCGCCAGGTGACAGTGAGTGACACGCGCGCACAGGAATATGGAAGCCCTGTGCTTGTTGGCAAAGAGAGGGACCAGGGAATTCTGAGGGTTGAACCCCTAAAGCCTTGTGCACGTGGCAAGAAATGCAAGTAAGATTTCCATGGGGCCCAACCAGCCAAGACAACTCGCAAGCTCAGAGCAGTTCTGCAGAAGGGAAGCTCCTCTCCAGTATCCCAGACTGGGATACCTGGAGGTGAGGTCCTTGTTCCAGGTGTGGGTGGTTAAACAGAAGTGACTTTCCAGAGGTGCAGTTCCCCAGGGCCAGGCAGACGTGGCACAGACAGAACAGAGGGGTGGATTTGTCTCCAGCCATCAGGGCTAACACAGGGATTTGCCACTGCAGAGCTGGCTCCAGGTCACCCCATTGGTGACAGCCAGAGATGACTGAGAATAGCTGCTATGCACATATACAAAGCTAAAGGACACTTTCTTTGGGCTACTGATCCAAGCAAGCACCCCTGAGTGAAGGCAACCCAGGTAACGAGTTATCTGGGAGCCAAGAGAATAAAAAAATGATAGTGTCATAGAAGGAATGCCCTCAAATCCCCTTCAACATGAGTTTAGGGAAGACTCCCCAGAGACACCCACAAAACCACAGGTCACATTCAGAAAGTCAATAAATACACACCATGTTTCTTCCGTTATTTCAGTCAGCCACAAACTGGAATGAAGACAGTCCTCCTACATGATCGTCCTTGACACCGAGTTAGTCTGAGCCTGGGTGGAAGCAGGAGCTGTGCTGTCACTGCTCAGCCCGGCCCATCTGCAAACCAGGGGAGGGTTTCTACACCGTAGTAGCAGCAGAAGAAAGGAACAGAGAAGTCTTGCAGGCATCCTGCCCATCCCTTCATTCCCAGGAGCACTACTCCACTCTTCTACATCTCTTACCTGCGCAGCAGACACAGACCAAACCAGGACTGCAAGGCAGACTGGGATGCAGAGGTATTGCTGGTTGACCTCATGGAGGAGGTGTGCTGCTGCAGGGGGTTGTTCCCAGGATCTACAGCTGGAGGAACACAACTGGTGCTCATGAGGCTCCAGACCAGATGCGGAGAGGTCACGTAGCAAAGCTACAGTGAAATCCCAGCTGGACTCGAAGGCACAGCTCCGATGTCAGAGAGCAGCCTCCTGTCTGCTCAAAGGTTTCTTCTTCAAGAAGATCTATACCATTCACAGACAAGCATGTCTCACAGCACTGCTGAGGCAGCCTGAGCTGTTCTTGCCCTCTTCATCACTGCCAAATATTGCACTGTCTTTTCCATGTCCCATTTTCACACCATTCAGCGTTACTTTGTGTGACCCCTTTGAAACAACAGCAGGTTTTCCACCGCCTTCCGTAGAAGCTGCGTTAAACACACGTGCTCTCCCAGTTGTGGTCAGGCTTACAATGAGGTTTCCTAAATCAGTCAGGGGAATAATTGCTGGTTTGCCCAAATACATCACCCTGTGCCAGGATGAAGAGTTTGCTGAGCAGAACCCAGCGCAGCAGGCCCTGATCCCCTGCTGGGCTGTGAGACATCACCGTAATAAATATTACTGATGGCAACTGCTCCGTGATCCACAAGCACAGTCACCTCAGCTGTATTTCTTCCAGTCTTCCTGAAATGAAGAAGCTCAAAGATTTTCTGTGACTTGTGCAAAAGGTGAAAACTCAGTTCTTCAGCAACACTCTACTCCGTGGCAGAGGGGGTTTAGCTGTGGTCATCCCTGTCATTCAGCACATTCAGCAGGCCATGGCTGTCCTGCCTGACCTCTATCCACCTCTGCTGTTGCAGCTTTGTACGCCATTACTGTTGTTAAACCACTGTTGGTGGCTTTTAGTGTGTTTTCTTTTTCCATCTCCTCTGCGACGACCCAATGTGACATCTTTCACATCAGCTTTTTCTCGTTTTCTTCACTGGATGACGCCTGCGAATGTGTTGATGGGCAACAGCAGAGACTTGGGCAGGTATTTCACAAGCCCCACATCTTCTGTTTCGTGCAGACTGAATTTCATTGCCCTCGTCTTTTGCAAGCAGTAGCTGGGCTCTAGGCAAGGAGACACTTCCACACTGCAAGAGCACAAAGACATATTTATTGCACGTGCAAATCTGCCCTTGAGGGCCAGAGTCTGATCTCAGACTAAACACCAGGTCTCCCCACCGACTGCTGAGGGAGGGCTGTCATACTGAGATGTGCAGCTGCTTTTGCGCTCTTTCAACTGGTTTTGGCTGGAAAGATGAGCTGATGTAAGTGTTTCACCACAAAACCAGTGTCCTTAGCCTGGCTCAATTTGATTCTCAAATCCACATTTTATGTATGTTCCACATGGTCCATGGAGCATGAACCACCTGTCCGTTTGCTTCCAACACATCCTATGTCACTGGAGCTACTATAGGCACATCGATCCCTGCTATTTTCACAGAGCTGAATTCTCTCCCTCTCCCTTCATATGCTTGAGACACCCTGGTGAGGAATGCAGTCAGTGAGAGAGCATCAGCTCCATGATATAATTAGGAGATCTAAGGTTTCAGTTTGTCCCCAGAGGTACCTGTCCTTCTACTGTCTTAATGACAGCACCTTACTTAAAACGGAAGAAACATTTTGTTTCTCACACCATCATCTGAAAACACAAAAGTAGGAGAGCACCACTCATCCCTGCTTTCCCTGAAGCCCATGTATTTGCCCTGTATTCCCTGTATTTGCCCATGGGTCTTCTGTGATGTCTGAGGATCAGGGCTAGGACTCCTGCGAAACTGCTCTGCTACCTTGGGAGCCCTTGCAGGGAGGGATGCAAGGTCACTGGCAAGATACGCAGAGCCTGGCACATGTGGCTTTCTCACCTGATCACGTTCCTGTAGACTCTTCTGCTGTCCTTGTCCAGACACACTGTGAAGGGTCTCTGCTCCGTGCTCCTGATTTTGATATTGCGTGTTTTCAACCTGTTTGCCACAGCCTGGATTGAGAGGAGAAAGGCCAGTGAGTGTCTCGCTTCCCTTCCCTTGGCTGCACGGTGATGGGTGGTGCGTGCATACTGGGTGTGAAAGGGAGAAATGATGACATTTCGCTTTTTTTTTAACCTCAGATGTGACATAAGGTGACTTCTTTAAGGAGGTAAGTTTCTCTCTTGTCCTTTTTCCGTAATCACAACCTGATCAAATTTTGCAAGGGCAAACTTTCCAAACTGGCAATGCTCACACAAGTTGGAAGGTTAGGGACATCTGATGTGGGACGTGGTCTGTTCTCCAGGGCCGTGGTGTATCTTGGTGGGAAGCATGGGCTGCAATACCTTGGTGTTTCCAAAAGCCAGGTGAAAATAAGCAAAAGTGTGCTGGCTACCTAAAATACCAGCTGAGACACCTGGCAGCTCCAGGGCCTAAATGACCATGGCACAATAATACTTAATGCCATCCAAACTGCAGTGACACATTCCCACAGGGCAGCGTGTCCTCTGGAGTCTACTTGAACTCTCACGTAAAACAAAAAGGACAGGAGCCCAAGTTGTCAGTCCCATCTTTTGCATATCCATCTTTCTGAGTTGGTAATTAGATTCGTTGAAGTTCCTGCTTCTCGTTTATGCTTTGTTAAAATATTTCTCCAATGGCCTCTGTTCTCATGAGCTTTGTGGGCATTAAGACATGGGGTGTGGGGAGGGCGCTGCAGCCGGAGGTGTGGAGCTAATGGAGCTGATCGCAAAGCTACAGACCCCGTCCTGTACCCAAGTGGAGCCACGATGATTAGGGCTAAGCCTTATTTCTCCAGTTCTTCCCAGGGGTCACAGAATCACCCCGGGAGCAGCTCAGACCTTCAGGGTCTCCTGAGACATGATTCAATGTGGCATTGAGCAACTGGGATGGCATTTGGAGCTTTGGCTCAAAAATCTAGACTTTTCCATGGGAAGTAATGGCAAAACACTCTCTGAGTAGGGTGGCCCCAGAGCCTTCTCCTCCCCACAGAGTGTTTCCCCTTTCACCATTGTCATAAGGGATTTCCATGCATTGGCCGGCCCCTCCGGCGCCACGACCATCCACAGCTACTTACTGAGAATGATCGCCCCGACAAGTTGTTGATCCTAATGATTTCAGTGATGTTCACATTCAGACACACCAGGTCTGCAACAGAAGCAGCGTGTTAGCCTTAGACCATGGCACGATCTGTGCTCATCTTTGAGTGGGGTGGTGCCAGATCCCACACTCAGGTGCATTGCCAGAGGTCTGTGGGATCAGCAGAAAAGGACTCTAGCAAGCTCCATGGGGTAAGGGCTTGTGTGGGATCATGGTCAGGGTGAAAATCTCAGAGGCTGTGCTAAGGGCAAGGTGAAAGGAAGGCTGCAGAAAGAGGAAGATGCTGCCAAGCCAAGATTATGGTTATGCTGAACCCCACATTACAGGGACCCCCAGGCACATCATTCAGGAGAAAAGGTGCAACCACAGACTGTGGTGACACCAATGTATGCATGTCACTGATCCAACCCCCACAGCCCAGGCACAATTGGCACTAAGTACTCTGGTCAGATTTACTCTATCAAGCACCAGAAAACTCAGCAAACCCTCTTCACATGGTTCCAAGCAGGAGGAACCCACCTTCAGCCTCATCAGCGGGGATGGCTTTCATCACCAGACCTGTGGAGCGCAGGGACATTGTGAGCTCCTTTGCCCGGTTGCTCACCACAACCTGCAAGAAAGGCTCTGTTAGTTCCCTCTGGCCAAGAGGTTACACATGGAGAGGTTTGGGGGCAGTTTTTCACAAATGCAGGGTTAGCTCACAGGCTTTTAAAGTTCACCATGATCTCTTTGTCCTGGAGTGCAATTCCAGAGGAAAGAAGGAGGGCCAGAGCACTCCTTTTGGGACAGCTGTGCTGTGCTGGGGGTCCCTGTGAGGAGAGACATTTTGGGCTGCCGAGAGCCCCGCTTACCTTTCTGTATGTTACAGTGAGATCTATGCCAGGGCCATCCAGGGTCATTTTCTTCTTGGTCATGCTTAACTCTGCAAGGAAGGAACCGGATAAGATTAAGGTTTCACTCATCCTACCTGTCTGTGGTCAGCAGAGAGGTGTCCTCCCATGGGACAAGCCACCCCCTCCATCACACAGCAGTCATGGTGTGGCACACTGGCCCTTCTCTCCTTGCCTATGGGAGCTGAGGCTCTGTGAACTTAACAGGTCCAGTGAAATGGATGCATTTGAGGTTCTGTGCTCAACCACAATGGCAAACATCCATTGGATCTGACACTGGGGTGCACTGATGGAAGGGCTGGGTGTGACCTCTGTAACAGTCCAGCCTTCAAGCACCCTTGTCCCATCACTGGCAAGTCAAGGAAGCAGAATTTCTAGTAGGGAGAACATAGAATCATAGAATTGTAGAATTGTCTAGGTTGGATGAGGCCCTTGCGATCATCGAGTCCAACCATCTACCCTACTCTACAAAGGTCTCCTCTATACCATATCCCTCAACACCACATCTAAACGGCTCTTAAACACATCCAGGGATGGTGACTCACCCCCCTCCCTGGGCAGCCTATTCCAGTGCCCGACCACTCTTTCTGTGAAAAATTCTTTCCTAATGTTCAGTCTAAATCTACCCTGTTGGAGCTTGAAGCCATTCCCTCTTGTTCTGTCATTAATTACCTGTGAGAAGAGACCAGCCCCAACCTCTCTACAGTGTCCTTTCAAATAGTTGTAGAGAGCGATGAGGTCTCCCCTCAGCCTCCTCCTCCTCAAACTGAACAGTCCCAGCTCCTTCACCCGCTCTTCATATGATTTGTTTGCTGGGCCCTTCACCAGCTTCGTTGCCCTCCACTGCACTCGCTCCAGCACCTCGATATCTCTCTTGTATTGAGGTGCCCAAAACTGGACACAATACTCGAGGTGTGGCCTCACCAGTACTGAGTACAGGGGCACAATCACCTCCCTACTTCTGCTGGGCATCTGGCAAAGGGGATGGCTGTAAAGCCCGGCTTGTTTCCTCCACAAAAATATGTTGTTGGTTCAGCTTCAGAGGGTTGTGGAGCCAACCAAAGGCACAGTCCACAAATTCAGCTTCAGAGGGTTGTGGAGCCAACCAAAGGCACAGTCAACAAAACCCGGTTAAGCCCAGGAACCAGTGACCACAAGGTCTCTCATTTAGCCTGGTGTCATGCACCCGAGAGGGAGATGGAGATGTTTAGGGAGGCCTCCTGCTCATGAGGGAACAACGGATAGTGCCCCACGGCATGGCCTTTACAGCTGCAGGCTGAAGGACAGGGCGAGAGGGAGCTGGGGCCAGCAGGACCCCTTCCTGGGATGGCATCCCCTGCTGCAGGGCTCAACGTTGGGGGACACACACACCTCTGTGGGAGATGCTCTCCTGCACCTGGGTGCGCAGCTCCGTGAGGAACACATCCTCGGCCGGCTCCTGCGCCGGGTCATTGAAGAAAATCTGAAAGAGAGGAAAACCTCTAAGAAACAGTTCCTCCTCAGTCACCCTGTGACGACACACTGGGCTTGTGACATCAAAAGGTTCTCACCCCAGTGTGACATCGTCAAAGGGAATCTATGACCTCATCGCTGCAGCCAGGGGGCCCATGGGATGGAGAGAACTACTTTTGCACTGCTTTCTGAAGCCCAGGAGCATGTCAGGAGTTGCCAGGAGGACCTGGCCAGCAGAGCCACGGGCAGTGTCCCCTGCCACTGGGTGTCACTGCGCCCTCACAGATGAGTCTGTTCTCAGCCACCCACCCCCGAGGCAACCCAGGTGAAGGGGAGCAGCTTCCCAGGCCTGACTTCACGTCCTGGCTTAGCTTCAAGGCAGGTCATTTCTCCCTGATACACCTAAACCAACTGGTCGCTTCAGACTTAGTAATTTTCTTTTCATGGTCTTATTTTGGGCAAAATACAAAGATAAGGTGCCGGGGAGCCTCTCCTAGCCCTACGGCCAGCTCCTGTGGGACTTGACCCTTACTTCCAGGAAAACTCTCTGCAACCAAAGAGGAACAGTGTGGTCTTAACCAGAAAGGCAAAAGAGGGTTAGTGTTTCCAGACGAAGCGGCACCACACCCCGTATGACAGCAGGGTAGGTTAGGTGCCTCTATCTGAAAACCACATCTGGAGTCAGTTCCTCTTCCCCTGCTTGAGTCACCCACTCTCTCGCTTGCTTTTGATTTCTGTCTTGGAGGAGAAATGAGTGGAATAAAAATGCACCAAAAACCCCAAATCCCCAGCCACGCATGCTGAGGACCAGGTGCTCCAAGGGTTTAGGAGCTACATGTTAATAGTTCAAGTCCTGGTGATCCTCTACCAGTAATTATCAAAGCTCTTGCAGCTCTTTGCAAGCCACACGTCAGTTTGCTCATGTCATGGCTGGTCCTTTGCTGCAACAGGTTGCCACATTGGCTACGGGTAGATTAAAAGGAGATATGTGCACCAGTGCCACGCTAAGCTTTGAACGGGGAAAACTGCCGGAGGAGCAGATGGGGGGGGGGGTTGACGTTATGTGACCAAATACAGTAGTTTTTTGCTCTCGTATCAAATGCCACTGTGATACCATTTCAGAGAAAAGCTGGCAGGAAATAAATAAAATGGTGTTTCAGGAAGCCTTGCAAAGCCCCTGCAAGGTACAGGATGGTTTTGGCAAAGCCACTCTGTAAACTCCTGTTTGCTTACGGCATCTAAAGCAGCAGGAGGTGCCAGAGCTCCTCAGCAAACCCAAGTCCAGCAGAGCAGGAAATCTGTGTCCTCACAGGGTAATTTCAAGGTTCACTTTGCTGACCTGTGTGATCCTGAAATAGCCTTCCTGGGATCATTGGCTCTGGCTGAGCTGTGCTACAGGGAGTCGCTAGATCTGGGAGCCTGGCAAGGAGGGGGCGGGCTGGGGACCACCGAGATCCAGGCTCAGATCTTCTGAGAGCCCCCAGACCCCGTTGACTTTGCACAGCTCTACCAGCAGTGGGGCTCTGCAAGTCCTTGCAGGGCCACCTGAAGGCACAAGAGATGTGGCACCCACCTTCACAGCATAGACCTGGAAGCAGACGGGCTGGATGCCCATGCGGACGTAGTATGCGATCACATCAGTGATGAACAGATCAGTCACAAGATGTTTGCTTGGAGAGGAAGGCTGGGGGGGAAAATCACATTATGGATCAGCTGTAGTCACTGCTCAAAAACACGGCCACTAACCCTCATGCCTTCCTAGATAAATAACGAGCTGTCTACCAGGGCAGCGCTGAGCTGCTCTGCCGTGACTAGTCAAAGCGAATGGGAGAAGCGAAGGCTTGCGCCCACCTAACCAGCCTTCTTTGTAGGCTATCGGTGGTGGCTCAAACTGCCAGGAAATGAGAACTGGGGGGGTATTTCAGCAAATGCCTCATTTACATTTTCTTTCTTGAAATCTGCCATTTCCTGTCACTTGGCCAAAAATTACCATCGCAGCAAACGGGTCTTGTGGGCTGGGACAGTGTCAGCCGCACGCACCCTCCCCAGGGCGGGTTTACAGGGAGAAGGGGTGACAGAGGAGCCCTGCAGGACAGGAGCTCGTCCTCAGGTACCGCAGATGTCTTTGGGAAATGGGCCAGGCTGGGGAGGTGGGAAGGTTTCCCTCGTACCATGGTGGCCAGCTTGGGAATCATGTGGCACAGCGTGTTGATGTTGCTCTCGTACCACGGGTCGGCTCTGCCCAGGTACCCGGCCACCTCGCAGAGCTCCTCTTGGCCGCTGGTAGTGTGGTCCTGTGGGAGAAACACACAGCTCAGAGTACAATCATGGCTCAAAATACCAGGAGCTATAGAGGAGGCAGAGAGAGATGGAGCACAAAGGCCCTGTGAGCCCCATCCCTCCCCCTTCCCTCCTTGGTCCAGAGAAGATGGCAAAACATTTCTTGCAGCACTCACTTAGCAGGTGCTCAACAACAAGCAAAGAACGAAAAGAAGAAATGTTCATTTTTATAACGGCACATTTGTCAGGACTCACGGCCAGCTCTGGGCCAGCTTAAAATATTGTGAGAAGTGCGACTGTTTATTTATCGCTTTCTCGAGGCCATCAGAGGGGAAGAGATTTGCCAAGATAAACTGCAAGGTACTGAGTTGCAGAACTAAAACTGGGGCTATGACCAAGCAGGCAAAGCCCTCAGTAAGGGGCAACCGCTTCCCCTAAGCGTCTGGGAGGTGAGAAAAGCATCAGTCCTTTGCTAAAGTTTCTTTGATCCTCCTATAGCTGGCGCGTAGCAGCAAGACCGAATACCATTTCTGGGCTGTGAGTTATCACTCGTCAGGGTGGTTGGAGCAGCCTGAATGTCTGATGGAGCTGATGGATTCCCGAAGTCAGTCTGCAAACTGAGCCCAGACACCCTGTCCTGGCTCCCATCCTCCCCGTTCTAGGAACTGGGCATTGATGGATGTGAATTCCTATAAACAACAGGAATTCCTCCAAAACCACCGTCAGCCGCTGGCAGCCAGCGGCAGCGCCCGGAGCTGCCAAGCCCAGACTCACCGCAACGGCCAAGGTGTTTGGCTGCCCCGTCACGACCGGGATGTAGTAGAACTGCAGGTTCAGCCTGGGAGTCAGGAAAACTCGCCGTGTTTCTCGTTTCCTTCAAACAGAAGAATAAATAGCCATGTCACAAGGGGAAGGTGGAGGGAAACGGCTCGTGGCCAAGGCTGGGCAGTGCCAGGAGACCACAGCTGCTCTGCAACATGAGCTCATGCCCTCCTGGCATGTCTCCTTTGCCCAGTGTGACAGCATGGCAGTAATGCCCCGAGTTTCCAAATCCCAAATCCGGCAAGGGGAGATGATGGGTGCAGGGGGCAGACGGGTGCTCAGCTGGGACCAGCAGTCCCCACTGCACCCAGCTCTGCTCCCCCGTCTGCTGCCCGCACCGCCACACAGACCCACCCCACGTTGGTCTCCTGGCCCAGGTGAGCTGGCTGGGCAGCTGGGCAACAGCTTTGCTTTAGAATTTTTCCCTTTTTGTGTGGGAAAGCATCTTGCCTCGTTTATGGTTCATTAAACCCGTTCCATGGACAGAAGGGAAAAACTCCCTGTGTGCACCACTTGGGCCAAGAGAGCCAAACGATGCCATGCAGCCAGTGAAAGTCAGATGCATTTGGGTGCAAAACACTTGGGTCCCATCCTGTTTCAGGTAACCCTGGAGCCCAACCCCATCCCCAGCCATCCTGGCTGCTTCATCAGGCTGAAGCCTGATGTCCCGCTCTGTCCCGCTCTGCCCTGCCTTTCTCCAAGCCCCCAGAGCCAAAGTGGCTGTGGCCACCGGTCACCTCAAAGAGTGGTAGGCTTGGGCCAGGCGCCCCAGGATCCGGTCGTCCCCCAGCAGCACGATGCGGGCAGTGTGGAGCCTCTGGAGCGGGGCTGCAGGCTCTGGGGGGATGCCCGGTCTCCTCTGTGGCTTTGCTGGGGGCTTTGCCCCGGGACCATTGCATCCAGTCTGCAGGAAGGCCACACTTTCCAGTGGCAACTGTTTTTTTTTAATGCCACCCTTCCTCTGGAGCCGGGATTGCTCTGTCTCGGCACTGCAAGGGGAGAAGGACTCCTCAGCTGCTGTGGGCAGGTCCCGTTCGATGCCGCTGTCGGTGGAGAGTACGGAGAAGCGGGTCTGCTCGCAGCACTCGCAGTCCGAAATGATGTCCTGGATCTCAAAGTTGTCCAGGTCCTGGCTTAGGCAGTTGGGCTCACAGCTCTGCGACAGTGGGCGGATGAACAGCACCAATTCCTTCCCTGCAGGCAGAAGGGAGCTCGAGGAGGGAAATACAACCAAACCCCCGCTGAGCCCTAGTCCTGCCCTGGCTCCCCTCTTCCCGTGCAAACCAGAGGGTCCATATCTCCACCAGCAGGTCCAAGAGGCGTCAGTCTTTCAGTCCCATTTCACATTGCACCATGAAGAGAGCTCAGTATCACTCAAATCAGGTACTTTGGGTACATCCTGCTGCAGCATGTCCCACAGGGGTCCATCCTGCCCCATCTCCTTCACCCCTCTCTCCCTCTAATCCCCTGATCTGATCCCGACACCCCGCAAGAAGGAAGGCTGGTGGAGTCAGCACGAGCCTCCACAAGTTTGGCCCTTGGGTGAGGGTTATGAAATTCATAGCCCAACAATCAGGGCTAAATGACATGCTTTGCACAGGCTTCCCAGCCTCAGGCATCTTCCCAACTTGCCGCAGCCCCCCAGGGCACTCACAGAGCTGGTCGTCTTCTGTCCAGAGGTGAAAGCTGATGTTGGGGTTGGGCAGAGGGGTACCCTGCAGCCCTCCCGAGGAAGCATTGCCTGGAGGAAACAAGGATGCTTGTAACACACGGGAGCAGACAGTTTTCCTGCATAGGTGCATGAACCCCAGAGCTTCAGGCACTGGCTGAGATAGCCTGTGCTGACCCCAAGGGCTCTCCCACCCTGGTCGCCTCTGGCCAGACCTGAGGCTGTAATCACAGACCTCTGCTCTCACAAACTGAGACATAAGAAGGTCCCTACGCCATCAGTGAAAGGAAGAAATGAAGATGGGGAAACAGGCACAGGCAAGTGAAGGACCTTGGGACCTTGCTTTGCTGCAGACAGCAGAGGAATTGCGGAATAAATAAAGCATTCTTCGAGCACTGGGCCTCCAACGCACATGGCCGAACCTCCCCTTGGCGATCAGACTCAGGGGAGCTCTCTGACCCCATCATCACTGGCTATTTTTATCCCATTATGGCTCTCTGAGGAGCAGTGAGACAACGGAATAGCTCAGTGCCGTCAAAAGGAGATGGTCCCACTCATTTCCCTGACCCACTGGCTGCTGCTCCCTGTATCTTGCACTGGGACAGTCTCCAGCTCTTTCCAGGGAGTGGGTTGGGATGCAGGGACCTTCCATGAGGAGTAACCAGGAAGAAGATAGCATGACCCCCGTTTCCCTCTGGTCTACCCCAGATTTGTGTGAGGAGCTGTGGTGGATGGGGACAGTTGTTATAGTCCATGTAGCCCCAATGGCACCAGGGTGGAACAGAACATTGCCCGGGATGGGAGGAGATGGCAGTACCACTGTCCACCGCATCAGTACAAGGAGGTTTCAGGGTGTGGAGCACAGTGTGTCCCCAGTCTCGGTCATGGCAAGATGTATCTTACACCAGCAGAACATTAGAGAGGCTGTCCAACTTCCACTGGTCAACAACTATGGCACCCTTTGCACGACGGAGACGTATCTCTGCGCCTCAGGGCAGCTCAATTAGCAGCAGATTGCCATGGTCCCTTTTCTTCAGGTGACAAATCTGCCTTGCACTGCCAGGTGCAGTTTGTCATCATGGACATCAGGTCACTGCTAGGAGCCGGGCTGCGAGGACCTGATCCCGGTGATGGATGCTGCTAAAGTGGAGGCAGAGGGGAGGTGGGGATGGACAGCTGTGGGAGGGCAGTGGCGAGGACATGGCAGCGAGGCAGGGACCTGCCAGCTTCACGGCTGCCTTAACCCACTGTGCACGAGTGGCCCGGACCTCACCTGCTTGCGAGGCGCTGAGGACGGCGTGGTAAATCTTTTCCAGCCTCTCTGCGTGCTGGCCGCGGTCTGCGCTTGCCTCGTGTCCTGCGCACTCGACTGCCGCCACCACTTGCTGGAACCAGTGCTCGACGTCGCTCGTGGGCATATCCTGTTGTGAGGAGCAGATATTAATACCCAGAGGCGTGAAAAGAGGAGATGCTCCAGGGGCAGGACCACAGGAGAGGGCAGAAAGAGGGCAAATGAGTCCTGCGAAAATTATTGTTTTGCAGCAGAGGACACAAATGTCCTCCTGTCCCTGGGGAAGGCTGGAGGAGGAGAGCTGCTGGCTGTACTGGCTGCTTAAAGATGTTTTTCTCACAGGTTTGCAGCTGATGGGCACTGTGCTCCCGGCTGCCGTGAGCTCGGGGAGCCAGCAGCCAAGCTGGCAGCTCAAGTGACGGCTCCGGAGATGGGGACAGCAGACACACAAAGGTGTCCTTTGGAGTGGAAATCGCTGGGAGCCCCTGCAAAGTCACCTGTCTGAAATAGCTTTTTGTCTCGCTGTGGCCCCACAGCTCCTTGAAGGAGGTTTGGGAGAAAACTGGTTGAAACATTTCTGCAGAGATGGTTTTGCAATGACCCACAGGGCTCGTGATGCCAAACCAGGGATCACAGGGGAGCCTGTATTTCAGCCACGGAGCCCACCTTTGCTGTGCAAAACTGAAGACTCAACCTGAAGATTCAAAACCTCTGGCTTGTGCTGCAGCATCTCTTTTATATTTGGAGAATGTTTTAGTCTAACACCAGCTCTGCTTGTAGCCCAGCCTTGTGGGTATCACTGGGGCTACTGGGGATGGAGACCAGCAGCGAGGAGCTGAGGGGGGTCTCCCCACTTGCCAAAAATCCTTTCTCTGCTCTGATGTGCCCGGTAAGAGCAGGACCATTGGAAAAATCACCCAGGGTGCCGCAGAAGTGGTGCCAGTTACCTGGAGGCTTCTCTTCAAGCCGCTGACATCGCAGCCCTCGCCCAGGGCTGCCTGCATGGTGTGGATGATCACATAGCACATGCACGCCCGGGGACTCTGGGAGACCTGAGCTGCTTCCGTGTCGGTGACCAGCGCGTTGCAGATGGCTTCGGAGAGCAGCTTCGGATCAGCAAAGATGAAAATCCTGCATGGGGCAGGAGGATACGGAAAGAGGGAGATGAGATGAGGATTCCAGTCCAGAAGAGGAGTCCAGTTCTGGGCTCCCCGGTTCCAGAAGGACAGGGAACTGCTGGAGAGGGTCCAGCAAAGGGCTACAAAGATGATGAGGGGACTGGAGCATCTTTCTGATGAGGAAAGGCTGAGGGACTTGGGGCTTTTTAGTCTGGAGAAGAGAAGACTGAGGGGGGATCTCATCAATGCTTATCAATCCTTAAAGGGGGGGTGCCAGGGGGAGGGGAACGGTCTGTTTCCAGCGCTGCCCAGTGACAGGACAAGAGGGAACGGGCACAAACTGGAGCATTGGAAGTTCCACCTCAACCAGAGCCTTCTCTGCTGTGAGGGTGGCAGAGCAGTGGCACAGGCTGCCCAGAGAGGTGGGGGAGTCTCCCCCTCTGGAGCCATTCCAAACCCGCCTGGACGCTGTCCTGTGCCACTGCTGGAGGTGCCCCTGCTCTGGCGGGGGGTGGACTGGGGGAGCTCCAGAGGGCCCTTCCAACCCTCACCAGTCTGGGATGCTGGGATTCTGTGATTCCCCTTTGCTCAGGGTTGGCACAAGCAGCTCGTGTCACCATCATCCCATGCAGAGAAAAAGGGTTGCTGCTGATATTCCCCTTCTCTGCTTGGGGAGGCTCCGTGCCTTCCAGAACCGCAGAAATAAATTGAGACACGTGGGAGGAATGTGCTTCTCCAAATGCAAAGCTCCCTCAAGACCATGTGCCGCCATATGGTTTGTGTCCAAATTGTCTGTTCCATCGAACATTAAGTCAGAATGCAGGAAAAGGCGTATTTTACTATGAGACTATAAAAGAAATAAAAGTAACAACACATTTGAAGAGGTGCTACTCACTTTTCCTGATAAGGGTACGGGTCACTTTTAAGACTTTGTTCGGAAATGACCATTCTTTGGTACAACATACCTAGCAAATGCAAGAAGATAAACACGCAGGAGTCAGAGCATGAGGAATAACAACACAACTCACCAGAGCAGCTCAACGCTGCTCCCGGTTGTAGAGGTGGATGGTGGGTCTGCCAAGTCAGCGACCGCTCACTGCTGGAGAGATGATGCAAAAGAGCCAAGAATTGGGCCCAGAGTTAAAAATAGTCAAGGACAAAGATAGGCCATGCGACATAAAAAGAAACCCCCTTCTATTCAGGGACTATTTCCTGTATTTCCCTTCCTTTGTTTAGTGGTTTATGAACTTGGGAGTGGAGTCGGAAGCAGGAGGAAGAGTCCTACTCCTGGCCTCCATACTCGGAGCCACATCAGGGGACAACGTGTGGGTAGATATGAAGAGCACAAAGCGTTTCTGAATCAGGAGAGATGTGCTTTACCCTCACCCAGCTCTGAGGTGGGGGAGATGCATCCACCCCGCATTGCTCGGGTGCAATCATCTTGTGAACCTTGTGGTGCTCCAAGAGAAGCCCTGCTGGAGATCCCCATCTCTCCACACTGAATCATTGTTTTACCAGAAGTCAGGGGAGAGAAAGGTGGACCTTGGAGCTCCAGACAAAGTGGTACTGGGGAAGCGTGGTTGGGGTGATGGTGATGCCCTGAGACAACCAAGAATGGCACTTTCTCTCTAATTTCCCACCAGGTTTCTCATATTTTACTTCCACCTCACAAGGTGTCTGCACCTTGCACTGTTTTAAAGGAGTGCTGTTAAAGAGCCTTACTAAAGAAGGCTTTACCAAGAAGAACTTTAATGACCAACATAGAGGAAAAGGAAAACAGAGCTTTCCTCTGGCTTGCGTTCTGAAAGAGACTGATCTCTGCAGGAACTAAAGATGTTTCAGTGTCTAAAATGTGATACACAGTAGTGAAGGGAAAGCCCATTCTGCACTCAATTTTAGATAGAGAGTTCGCTTTGCAAAATGGAGACCTCCACAAAATTTACTGAGATGCCCAGGCTGGGACCATAAACACCCTGTTTCCTATATGGACAGAGCGTGTATATACACCTGCCTTAGATGGGTTGGACTTGATGCTGGTGGTTCCTACACCGACAGCAGGAGGACCCCAAGGTTTTCCGCAAGTAACTGAGGCTCAGCAGCCTGAGAGGGAGAACCCTCCCATCCAAATGCATTCCTAAGACCCCCCAGTGTTTGGCCAGCCCCATGCAGAAGTCCCTGCCATCGCTCACTGCATTCGGCAAAGGCCAGCTCAGGTATGGAAACCCCCCAAAACCCCCACTACCATCGCCTCGAGGAGCCCAGCCGTTCACCATGCCCTGCACGGGCAGAGTGGAGAAGCTCTCATACCCGGTGCTGTCCTTTCCATCTTCAGCCTGATGGCGTAGTCCAAACCGACGGTGCAGAATGGCTTGGGCAGGGTGAGCAGCTTCTTACAGAAATCATACACTCTGCTGCAGAGCTCGTCAGAGATGCAGGGAGCCTGGAACGAGAAAGGGGTAGATAAGGAGATGCAGTGATCCCTAAAGGTGCTCTCCCCACAACAGACCCCAGGGTGGGTGGGCACAGCGCTACGCCAAATTCAATATGGATTTAAATGCAATATCTGAAGCAGAACCAGGCCCTACAATGGAAACCTCCAGCAATACCCACTGAAGGGCTGTGGGCACGCATTTTTGCCAGCTTGTGGCTTCCTGCACCATCAGACACCTAAGCACCTCCAGAAAAGTGGGTCAGCTGGAAGGACCTGTCACTCCCCAACATGTCAAAGGTGCCAGTGTCTCAGCCATCAAACATCACACTGGGAAACGCACAGTTGAGTCCCTCCGTGGTAGTCCCAGAGCCTTACTGGGCAGGTACTGGGATATTTCAGCACAGGAATAGGTGCTGAGTGACTTCAGGTGGTCCCTCCTGTGGTTTGTGATGTCCCTGGCTCTTGCCCCAGAGAAGCCCGTGGTAGGTTACCTTTATCAAGGTGTACATCAGCGTGTGCAGCAAAGGGATGATGTAATGTCTGAAGTCACCTCGCTCCGCCTGTGGGACCAAAAGGCACAGTCAACGCAGGCAGTGCCTGGCAGGGGGCTGGGATGGGCGGCAGCAGGGACCAGAGCCGGGGGGGCCACCATGGCCCCCGGGATGCACTGGGTCCCGACTGCTCAGCGGCTCAGGCACACCGGGTGAGCACAGGCATTCTCCCTGGCTCAGAGGTGATGCTCCCCAGGTCAAGGTGGGGTTTGGGGTCCCTCCACAGGGCATCAGGGTGGGCAGAGTGTCCCCGGGGCAGACAGGTCCTGCCTGGTGGCCATCCCATGCAAGCCAAGCCTTGGGGAAGGGGTAGGGGGGTGGACAACATTGCTGTGGCCACCATCACATTGCAGGGCTGGAGATTGCTGTAAGGACATGAAGGCTCTGGGAGTGTGGGTCGGACACCGAGAGCTGTGATACACAGCAGTCATGGTGGGAGAGAGCGAGCAGAAGTTTCTAACTGAGGTCAATAAGGAGCTCCTTTCTGTTGCAAAAATTCATGCGAAAATATAAAACCACAGGGAACCCTCTGGAAAAAGCCTGGTTTACATTTGGTGGGCGCGGGACCAGAGTGGAGAGGCAGAAAAGATGCTCTTGCATCCCCGTCCTGGCCCATGGGAAGCCAGATGGATGCTCAAGACGACAGAGCCGTGTACCCCCTGCCTGCAGCCTGGCTCTAACTGACAGCTCCGGCAATGGGAATGCCCCTGGATAAACCTGGGAAAGGTATTTCCATCCCAAAGCTATTTCCAGCACCTTTCTTCAGGGCTGCTGTGCCGATAGATCTGAGTTAAATGGAACTGATGGCAGCAAAGCTTTAGAAATTATCAATACAATGGAACAATACTGAGTTGCTGAGACCAGTTGATATTTGCCCAGAGCCCCATAGGAACTCAAGTGTGAAATTGCTAAATTATTATCTATGGTTGGTAGTGATTGCTCAGAGCTGCTGCAGTACCAGAGGAATAAAAAAAAAAAAAAAGAAAGAAAAAAATGACACTGATTTCCAAGAAGACCTTTAGGGAGATGAAGGGAATTATGGACCAGGCGACCTGACATCCCTCCTGGGCTAGGAAAGATAAGAGTAGCAGAGTGATAACAGTTATAATGGGGAGGGAATGTCATGGCTTTTGCAGGGGAAAGCAGACCTGAAGCCCTCTGGGGGAATCCCTGCATCTGAAGCCGAAGCTGGGGGTGATGTGGGTGTTCCTGTCTATCTGGATTTGCAAAATCCATCTGATAAGATCCCTCCGACGGAAGCTAAACTGCCATAGCAGGGACGGGGACAGGGACGGGGACGGGGAGACACACAGCTCGTGAATGGCCTCAGAGCTGCTTAAAAGGCAGGAAAGAGAGAACAGGAATAACTGCTCCATGGTCACAGCGCTGCGATGTGTGCGCAGGGGTCTGTGCTGAGCTGACGGGCTCAAGTGTGGGACACGGGGGCGTTGATGGAGGGAGGTGACAGCCTCTGCAGAGGGTGCTGGGCCCCCACCCCCCACCGGGCCTGAGAAGCAGAGGGCAGGAGACACGGGAGCTGAGCGATGCCGAGCAAGGCGGCTCCATCCTTCCAGCTGGAAAGGAGAAATGGCAAAGATGCAGAGAAAATGGTACGGGGAGGTTTCTGCACAAAGGACAATTAGCAGGGGCTCTTCACCAGGGTGGGGAGGAGGAGGTGGAGGGGGGATGTGGGCTCTTCCTCCCTGTGGCGGAATGAGAGGGCGCTGGGTAAAATGAAACAGGCTCCTAAGAAAGAAAAGGTGCTACTTCTACCCATGACATTTCATCAAACCACAAACGAGGTCACGCCAGGATGCTGAGAGTGCTAAAGGTTTACACGAGATCAGAAAAATGACAAGACAACTCAATGAAAGCAAAAAATCCCTGACAAGGTTTCCGTCAGATGCTCTCAGGACAGAATATGGGCTAGATGTTTCTGCTCTGACACCCTCTGGGGCAGAAATGAGTGACACGGAGGAGAAATTTCCACTGTAGCTGTGACTACTGCTGGCTGGGGTGGGATGAGGGGGATTTGGGGGCGGTCAGAAGTGTTTTGCACTTTGCTATTTGCAAGCTGCAAAGGCTGTCTGCCTCTGGCTGCTGTGGCATCGAGGAGCCTGGGAAGGGTCCCTGCTTTGCCTATGGCCTGCTGCCACTTTTGGGGCAAACCCTGGTCCCTGCAGCCATCAGGGGGGATGAGCTGCAGCTCTGCCCTGGTGTCCCACAGAGTTTTTCACTCTTTGCTGAGCCACAGTCCCCAGCCAGACACAAGGTCCCTAAAACCACCTTAGCCATCTCCAGCCTGGGATGCCCCAGGAGAGGCAGAGCCCTGCGGGTGGTGTTGAGTCCCCATCCCTCTGGTCCCCCCGGGCCCCGCAGTGGGACACATGCCACAGAGGGGCCGACCCCAGCGCTCAGGGGATGTCTCCGAGGCAGCACTCACCCTTTCCAGCTCCTTCACCAGGATCCTGACCAGGATGGAGCTATTACTGGGATTCTGGTCGATTTTTTTATGCAGGGTCCATCGCAGCATCCCTGAGAATTGAAAGCCAAGAAAGAGGTCAGGCTGCAGAGCAGAACAGCGATGGATCGGGGGCAGAGTTTGACAGAGGAATCAGGAGCCCTGGGCAACGTTGCTCTAAAAAATCACCATCAGGGATGCTCCATTGACATCAGTATCAGAGCGAAACCAGGCGTTTCCGCACTCCATTTCCATCAGTGACCCTCTGCAAGGGACACGTCATGCTGCTGCCCTGATTCCAGATGCGGCATTGATGTATCATATCTCCAATCCTGGGAAACCTTTGGAAAAAAGTCTCAGAGATCCTAGGACTGGGGGTGCTGGAGAAAAGCAATGCAGGGCAATGGACATGAAGTTTGTTTCCTGGTCCCTCTGTTTACTCTGTTCGTGACTGCCTGTTTTCACTGCCAGGTCTCAGGAATGTGGGTTGCTGGTAGTCCCAGCACGCAGCGCCTGAACACTGGCTGCCGACAGCTCACGCTTGGAGCGAGGACCACAAAGCATCTCAAGTCCTGCAGATGTCAAGGCTCATTCCAGACAAAATCAAATTTAATTAACTGCAAAATATTCTGCGCACTCCAAGTAAAATCATTTTTTCAAAATCAATAAGGCTTCCTAAGGCTGTAGCAGTCCAGTTGCTGGATCAGTTAGAGTTTTATTCTCCAAAACCGTAACACGGGGATTTCTACTGACTCTTTAGTGAGGGACTGAGCAGTGGGTAGTGAAGCGATACCCCCGCAGGGGCAGATGGGGACACTCCAGCTCAGAGGTGTTAAGTGAGTTGGACTGGGCTGCGTGGCGAGTCGGTGTCAGAGCTGGGAACAGCATCACAAACACTGGTATTTGGTGTCCCACCTCAGTGCTGGACCCCCTGGGCGAGTGAAGGGTGTAGAGGATGGAGGAGGAGGAATGAAAGCTGCTGAGGTTGGTGTATGGCAGACACCAGGAGCTCGCACCTCTGAGAGCAGGTGAGAAAGGGCAGAGCAGGGCCAGGGAGGTGAGACCACCCCGTGTCCCCCCACCCTGACGCTGTCTGAGAGGGGGGAGCAGTGAGATTTGGGACCAAGCAATGCCTCAGTGAGAGGGGACGGGGGGGTGCCTTACCTCGGTCACTCTGGCAGGCGGGGTGGTGACCGTCCAGCTCTCGCAGCAGCGTGCGGACACGGCGCAGGATGTCCGACTCCACCTCTGCAGGGACGAAGAGGACGTGAGCAGCCAGGCCAGCACCCCTGGGAGACTGGCACCCGGGGACAACCCCGGACACTGGTTTGGGTGTGCAGTGAGTATGGGAACTGCCCCCTCACCACATCCATCGGGATGGCTGTCTCAGCAGGCTTCAAGTCTGGATAAGCCTTGATGGAAACAGGCCAGAGCCCTTCCCAGGGTCACTGGAGCTCGGGGGCAGATGCCATCCTATGGACTGGTGGCCCAGCCATACTGGAGAGCAAAGTGCTCCAGCAGATGTGGCAGTAGGGGAGCTCTGCAGAGGACTGCTCATGCATGAGCTCTGCAGAGCTCCTCTCTCCCTTTATTCAATAAAAACATCACACATTAACTATAGAAACCAACAAAATTAAACCACAACGTGGCACCACGAAGGAGCAGAAACACCTCTGCATTTTTGGCACTGCATGGATTTGGTCTCAACCTTACACACATGGCAAGGAGCACTCTTGCAACAAGGTCTGCTGCCTGCACCGGCATCTCACCCCTTTTGGGAAACCCAGGCAGAGCCACCAGGCTGGGCATGTCACCTCCTGCCTTCCACCCGTGACCCCGCACACCCTCTCCCTGACGTGCGACCACCTGCCTGTGGGTCCCGAGCACCTTCTGCTCCCCAGACAGACCCAAGGTCAGTGCTTCTGCCTGGTAACCACCACATGCACCTCATACGCATCAAAACCAAACCGCATCCTGCTCTTGGCCAAAAATAAGTCTGACAACCTCAGACCCCGTTTGAGGTATGACTTGTATGTGGGGCGAGGGCTCGTGATCGCGAGTGAGCTTGCATGGCAGCTGGCTGACCATGCACGCTGACACATCGCCGATGTAAAATAAAAGTCAGCCCTGAAAGCACACGGGGTGTCAGCCAGGAAAGCTGCATGGTTCCTTTACTCCACCATGGCCTGTGTGTGTATGTCCCTCCTTACCCTGCGCTACTCTTCCCCATCGGCAAAATGATTCTTTCTCCTTTGTAATAAAAAAAGCGCGTTATATGAAGTTGGGTATTATTAGGTGATATTCTCCTTCTGTAGGAAGTTGTAGGCTGGAGCAGGCAGAACATGGCCTGATCCAGAGGAAGATCTCAGATGTTTGTGGCAGCTGTATCCCAGGGCCCTTTCCTGGGGCAGGTTCCTGCCTCTGTGTTCCCTGGTGGGGTCCGGACCATCGCCAGCAGTGGCTGAGCAGGTCTCACCTGCATGGCAAGAATGCAAGCAAGGAGCAATTGATGCAGGTCCTGAGGGAACTCTAGACACATAGTCTAAGCTGTCTGATCCACATGGGATCGCCTTTTGGGATTGGTGTCATGACCACCGCATTTCTTGCCCAGTTTTGCTCATGAATTGGCTCATTCCCTCCACACCCTCTTCTGCCAGAGCTCCATCATCCCTAACATCAGAGAGATGGCAGAAGGACAGCGGTGGACACTCATCTTTATCTACAAGAAACAGAGGAGGCAGCCAGGGTGACACTAAATAAGAGCTGTGCTCAAGGACCACAGCCTCCAAACATCCTTCCTTGGCTCTGGGAGGAGATGAAGCCAACTGGTCTGGGTCCCATTGGTGGGGCAGGCAGTGCTTTGGACTTTACAAGGACCGGTGACTGGGGGAGATGTGCTGGGATCTGGCTGGTTGGGAGCTATGGGAAGGGAAACAGGAAACTACAGGAGGGGGTTTACAGCTCAGCTGGAGGGTCAGACCAACAGAGGAATCTCCAGTGAGTGCTCCTGTGGACAGAAGACCATCAAGACATGATCATGCAGGAGATGGGGCAGCTTTGAGTTTCTGCCCCCTCATGCCATGCAGACCCATACACCACCTCAAGGATGGGTTTGAAGCAAAAAACAGAGATGGTTTTTTGCTCTTCTACTGTGGCTTTCAGAGGGTATGTGGGCGCAGTGTCATCATGCAGGGGAGTGGACGTGGCACCCCAGAGTTGCCACCGTTGCCACTGGCGATGCACACAGCTTTGCCCCTCACAGCATCCTTGCTGCCTCCTTGTCACCAGCTCGCAGAGCTGGCAGCATGGCCAGACACATGACAAGCCACTCTTGCCCTCTCAAAGCCCAAAGACTGCAGTGCCACGGGTCCAACACGATGGTGAGCAGGGCAGAGGGGCAGCAGACATGAGCCATGCCTAAAAGAAAAATGGGAAACGCAAAATTTAAAGTATTGGAGATGGCCTATTCCTGAGTTCACCCCAAGAGCCAAAATCGTTCTTCTATGTACTGACCTCAGGGAAGTGCATCCCCTTAAGGATGCATGTGGGGGGGATTCATTCAACTCAGGCTGCTTCTGCAGAGGAGCACTGGTTTCATTCGAAGCTATGTTAGAGAACAACCACGCACTCGGGTTCGTGCTGGCGAAGCCGTGTGTGCGTACGCAAGCAGTCCCATCTCTGCCAGCACAGTTCGTGCCATCGTACCGACACAGGGAGAAACTACAGTGCAAAAATGTCCTTTGAAATGGGATTTTTCATATTTTGGAAGTGTCATTTGGGGAAATATAAAAATTTTGCTTTGGAAAGTTGTATTTTCTCTCCTTTTTGTTTTCTCTCCAGTGATTTTGTAAAGCTCCTCAATTTCACTGTTACGTTGATTGGTTTTGCACCAGGGAATTGCGCAATAATGGGCTATTTGAAATTCCCTATTCTTTTCATTTGTGTGTTTTTAATTACCAGGGGAAGTTTTTCCTGAGCACCGATATAAATACTGTCCTCTTTTTCTAAATCAAAGTGACTACAGCCATGATATGCTGAGGTTTCTTCATGGGGAGCAGCAGAGCGTCAAAGCACTTGCTCCAACACAAACAAGAGGCACTTTGATCTAAAAACAGCCTCAACCTACCGGCGACAAACAGTAGTGACTTAGAAATGAAAAAAAACCCCCACGTTTCAGCATTGATATCCTGACCTTGGGGTGCAAAAAAAAAAAAAAACCAGGTGGGGGGGGGGGAGTGGAAATGGACGTGAAAAAGAAATGCAATAAAACTTCTTTAAAATTTAAATGTGAATGGTTGCCAGACCCAGTGCTTTCCAAGTGCCCCTCTACAGCAAATCTTGTGACTACCCCTCAATTGCTTCATGCCTCGTGTCCCCCCTACCCAGCGCGGTCTGCCGTCACCTTGCGAAGAGCAAGGTCTGCCCAGCGGCAATGCATCCTCCTCAGATATCCATGTATTTTATTGGAAGGCAACTGACACACGAGAACATGGATGAGGTGGGTTAATTTGGCTGGGACCCTCCTGCCCCATCACCCCGGAGGGCTCAGCATCACCCACCTGTGCTCTCCATGGCCGGGCCGAGTGTGCAGCACGGGGCGGGCAGGACGGCCGCGGGGTGTCTGCGGTGATGGGGTGAGTGCGCAGCTGCTCCTCACTCCACACGGGCATGGCCTTGGGTCCTGCGTCTCGCCTGTGAAAAAAATTAGGGCACGCTCAGCTCAGGCTGATGGTGGAGATCAGGATCAGGCTGAACCTTGTGGGGTGGAGCACAAAGCCACCAGGACACCGCGGGCACAGGACCCCGGGGTGGGGGATGTCCAACAAGGAGGCAAAGCCCTAAGGGTGAGCGCAGCATCTCAGGGGCTGTGTTTTGCTGGAGAAAGCTTCAGCTCGAAGCTGAACCCGTCTGAACACTTGGCCCCCCAAAGCCTCCCGCAGCAAGGAGGCCCCCAGGGATGAGCATCAGCATTGCCAAGCAGGGCAGGATCGGGCACCTTCTCCTCCCCAGAATTTAAGAAGAAATGTTCAGGGTAAGTCAAGTTGAGTCTGAAATGCAAATTCCAACCATAAAAAAAAAAAAAAAGGGGCTCAAATTTCTATGAGGTTTCCCTGCCTGGTGTGCTGAACCACTGCCATCCTGATGCAGCATCCCGGAGAAACAAACCCCAAGGAAAGCTTGGGAACCAGTTACGCTGCAGAGGGAAGCCAGCCTGGAGCCGGACAGCTTCCCTTGCCCCCACGCATTGTTCTTTCTAAAGAAAGAGGGAAAAAAAAAATAATCCCCAGAGCTGAGGAGGAAGGAAGGGAGATTTGCCTGTGACAGGACCACAGGCAGGCTGGGGAGCCAGCACTGGGCAACCGTGGGGGACCAGAGGAGACGCCAGCATCTTTTGTGTGAAATACCGCTGCTGAGATGCTCAGCTGTAGCCATCCACCCCACAACGGGGTCCCTCCCGGCCCCCAGCTCCAGCGCCTCATGGTCCTGCTCCCCCAGCACCCACGGCGAGGCCACGTCTCCCCCAGTGCGTTGTCCTCTCATGTCTCCCCATCCATGGGCACAGCAGCAACCGCAGGACCGTGCTGCCCGTATTTACAGCCTGAGCGAGCTGCAACGCAGCTTTTGGCATTTCTAGAATGAGGCTTTTCCAGCCTGTGGGTTTTGCCCTCTCTTCTTGCCTTTAAGGATGGAAAAAAAACCCAGCCCACAGCTGTGAATTCTATGGTTTCCCTGAAACACCCACATTTTTGGCTGAGAAGAAGCAGCCCACCTCCAGCGGTGCCCAAACCAGCACAGGCAGCAATAACAACTCAGTCCCGTCAGTCCTCCGCATCCCTCCAAGCACAGTCGGGCCATCAGCCCACGTTTGTGCTCATGTCTTTGCTCTGTTTAGGATCTGCTCTATTTAATTTGCAGATTTAGGACCTAACTCTACCCAGGTAGGTCCTAAATCTGTAAATATCCATCACCAAACCCAGCAGCTCTGCGGTGCAGGGGGAGATGGCCAGACACGTGCGGGAACGCCCCTGCCACGCACCACTGGAGCCCCGAGAGCATCCCGCTCTTGGCAGCTTTCAGAAGCTCATTAAAGGTTTCCTGCAGCGAGTGAAGTTTTCAAAACCCACCCCAGACCCGTGTGGCCCTTCTTCCTGGCCCCGGGGCGGGATGACGAGGCCTGGCGCCCAGCCACCGCCGCGCATTTCCACCGCCCGCTGAGCAGCAGTGCCGCGGGGGCAGCTCCCAGCCACAGAGAGGACAAGGGAGAGGAGGACTGGGGTCCTCCTGCAGGCCAGGGGTTTACTACAGCAACACCCCTGCCTCTGCTTGCACAGCTGGCAGGCAGCTCGGTCCAGGGGCGGGAGTGGGGAGGAGATGCCAACCCTCCTCTGGCTCAGCTGGATGCCTGGTACCAACCTTGGCAACGCATCTCTGCAGCACGGGGGTACGGCTGCGACGATGGACGTGCCCTTTCCTCCGCAGCGACTGCCCTGGGGTGCACCAGGGCTGCGTAGCGGGGCAGAGGGTGTCTACCAAGGCCAGCAAACCATTTCCCTCTCTGTGTCCCATGCTGATGGCAGCAGCTCTGCTTGCAGGCGAGTCACGGTGCTGCCCACGGGTTGTTCCTGCCTATGGCGCAGCATCCTGCCTCCCCCCTCGCACCCACGCTGCCGCCCCTGGCCGGGCACTGGATGACTCCCCGGCGATGCTCAGCACCCTGGGTGCAGAGTGGTGACCACGGGAAGGATGCTCTCATGACCTGGCCATGGCTAACCACAGCGCTGACAGCCTACACCGAGCATCAGCCGCGTGTCTCCGGACAAACGGGGCTTGGGTTCTACAGGCAGAAAGAAATGGGACGTGTCTCCTGGTGGGTCGGCATCTGGGCTAGAGACGGAGAACATCAATTAATCCTCCTACTCTCAGAAATGACCAATCACCCTCTTGAATCACTGGCTACAGAAGGAAAGTGAATGATTCTCCTAATCCCTTGCATGCATAAAAGCACCAGATCCCGTACCGCAGCGTTACACACCTGATTGGCACTCTGGTTCTCAAAATGATATTTCCTGCTGGGAAAAGTGCTATGGTCCCTGATGCCGTGGGACACCCACGGTGCTTGTACTGAGTGGAGGAGCTGGGGCCGCACACCGGGCTCCTCCGGGGCGGCTGCCTCGGGGCTCGGCGAGACCGCCTGCCGAAGCGTAACACAGCCCGCTGCTAATTGCGTCGGTGGTTTTCCACATCCGCATCCGACTTGCCCGCGCGTGGGAGGAGAGCTGGTGACCAAATGTGGAACCTGCTCGCCAGCATTCGGTTTCCAGGTTTAGAAAAGGACTCCACAGGGACAGAGTGACATGAGCTCCTCCTGCCTGAGAAACTTTGGTTCTCGGTTCACCTATCTGTTTAAAAAGTGCTGGTGTTGCTCCCTGTTGGCAAAGAGGAGCTGAGCTTCAATCCATAGTCTGCTCCGAGTGCTTGGGTCTTGCAAGAAAATCCAACATAAAACTGGTCCCCAGCATATTCAGAGTCCAGTCCCACCATCTGCGGGAGGACAGGTAAATGTTCTGTGAGAATAGGTATGAAAGGACATACACAGAAACAGGCTGGTGAGGAAGACTGGGGTCAGTCTGGTTCCTGCCAGGCACCAGCTACTTCTTCTCGCTTGGCCTGGCCATAACCAGCACAGGGACCTAAATGAGCCCCATTTTCACTGGGGATGTTTTCTGCCTGCTTTGCTCCCAGAGGGTGAGGGTATCAGGGCTACCAAAGGAGGAGGAGGAGGGATGCAGGGCTGAGGAGGGGAAGAGCTGGACAGCATCAGCCCCAGTCCGGAGCAGTTCAGACAACAGGACCACGTTGTCCTAACCGGCTGCGACAGACGGGGATGCTGCCTGTCCTTCCCTCCCGCGCTTCACCAGGACTTTCCCGACAGCAGCTGGCCCTGCCATCACCCCGGCGCAAATCCAAACCCAGTAACATGGCGAGGAAGGCTTTGAAGATGCAAGAGCCTGTGCTGTAACCAAGGATTACATTCAGCCTTTGCACAGAGCGTTTACGTCTTCCTGGCCCGTGGAGATGTAGGCTGCTCCTCAGCTCAGGTGCACGGGGTGACAGTAATGAAGCCGGGCTGATTTATGCCACATGATCTGACCTCAGCACCTCTTTGGCTGAGCGGAGAGTGGCAGGGAGCAAAGACCCAGCCTATGCGCTCCTGGGAAGGAGACGGCCTGTCCCTGTCCTGGCAGCGACGCTGCTCTGGGCAGAGGCTGACCACAAGGGATGAAGCCCATCAACCTGGCAGGAGGGATTCCTTGAACACCACCTAGAAGCCATGTGTACACTGCGGTGACAAAATAACCATCTGAGGTTGAATGACATAGAGCTGCTGATTTGGGTGAAAAAGCATTTTAGCAGAGGCTGTGTGGAACTGCAGACACACACCATGGAGACCCCGGTGCTGGTGTCAGAGCAATGGGAGGTGTCACCCACTGGCACCCAGAACCCTGGGGTGTAAGGGGATCCCTATCACTGCGCCAGGCTGCTGCTGGGTCTGCTGAGACAGGGTCAGTCCCCAACACCCACCCTGTGCGCCTCTGTTCCCAGGACACAGCAGCCATAAATCCCCTGAGAGACCAGACGCGACACGCCGGGATGTGATGTGGTGATGCTGGGACCGCTCCATCCCTGCAGACGACGGAGAGGGATGTCCCCGCATCCTCTTCATGTCCCTTCCTGCTGGCTCCTTTGCCATTGCCACCCCTTCTGGTGACCGACCCCAGGGCTGAAGACCCTGGTTACAGGCACCTCTGTGCTTTGTGCCCACCGAGCCCTGACCCACCACGTGCTGTGAGCCAGCCGGGGGTTCCCCCATGCCCACGGCTGGCTCAGGCGCTGCGTGGGGATGGCAGGCAGAGAGACGTGTCTGAGCTGCACTGCAGCCCCCCCCCACCTCCTCATCCAGGGATTTGGGTCCCCTCTCCCGGCTTTGCACTGCTGGTCTGTGTCTCACACAGGGATGCTCTCAGCAAAGGGGACTCCGGGGAGCCGCTAGGACCAGACCCACCGCGTTCACTGCGCCGCATCCCCACATCCCAGTGCAGCGGACAGGGTTTGCTGCTGACAGCAAGTGTCAGCGCGGTCCCTGCAGGAAGGGGAGCACAAAGACATCAGAGCCCCCCACTACAGACAGCCCCTTCTGCCTCCCTCGTCTCTCCCGAAACGACTGATGCCCGGCGCAAGTCGGGGGATATTGTCCCCATTTCTGGGGATGTACTCTGCGCTTGTCCTACTGCCTGGTGGGCTGACTCGGACCTTTCTCCTGGGAACGGCTGCCCCGCTCCCCTGAGGGCTGGGGACAGGGTCTGCTGCGGGTGGGAGCAGAGGACCCTGTCCCAAACCTGCACTCACCTTCCCTTGTGTCCTTCCAGCTCCCAGGATCACTGCTCCCGTCGGGGCACAGGACGGTCCCAGCATGCACATTGTGAGGAGGAAGAGGAGGAGGCGGCAAGGGATCAGGCGCAGCCGAAGGGCACCGGCTCCCCGGCCGAGGGGGGGGCTTGGCGGCGAAGCGG